TATATATATATATATATCAGATTTAAGAAAGAGCAGATATTTTTATATATATAGTGCTCAATATTAAAAATATTAAAATAATATTAAGAATAGAGCATTAATATTATTATATGAAAAGATTACTTTTAAATATCAATTTTAACCCAACCATGAAGTTTCTTGGTGGAATTTGCAATCTTCATGGGTTGTTTTTATATAATATATATATATATATATATATATATATATATATATATATATATATATATAGAGAGAGAGAGAAAGATGCCGATGGAGTAATGATTGTGGCTTGGAATAAGAAATCAGAGAGTCATGTTTAAATTTCAGATGATTTCTTTACATTCACTCATGCACAAATATCCTTGAGAAGTGTATGAATCCATCTCTTGATCTTCCCCGAGCTATGGGTTAAGTAGTTGTTATGGAGGGATTTTACAGTGGAGGCTTGTATTTGTACTAAGTCGGTCTTAAAATAGGTTTGACGTACAAAACGTTAGGAACTTGTTATAATAGGTATAATGCAGAGAAATCTAGTTGTGGTCACTGATAGTTTAGTATTCGACTAACGGTCGTCCGGCATTGACTGACTGACTGACCCACTGAGTGACTTAGCAACTGACTCGTTACTCTTACTTATTATAGGTTGGAGATTCTATTAACTATAGAATAGGTGTGTTCCACTATAACAATAGTAGAGCCATCTGAGCTCTTTAGTTCTGGTTGGTAACCAGTCTAGAAGAATGAAAACTCTGAATAAAAAATTAAAAAAAAACACGCTGAGACAGGTTGTTTCAAGACCTCATGGCATACTATGTGTATCAATTCACTGTATTCAGCTCTTCTGAAAAGTGTGGATGGTTTTAAACAAGTATTTACCACTATATTCAAATGATGTACAAGTTTTGCTGCTTGGTTCTTGGAGCCACTGGATCCTCATACAACAAAGATAACAAGGGGGCCCTAAATATACATGTACATCAATAGCAGAGAATTTAAGTTTTGTGATTATGTCCACAGCAGCAGAAGTGTTCATTGGTATTTACCCATTCCCCCACGAGAATGGGATGTGACACAAGGTCGGATTAATGTGAGGAACCCGAGCGCGTACACTCAGGCAGGGACAAAAATTCCCCTCAGCCCCTGCAACCGTCGATTGTGCTGGCCTTGGTGCGAGCACCGATCACTCCCTCTTGTGCAATGGGAGGGTGCGGCCTTGGGCAGCTGTTCTCCAGGGCTGGGCACCTCTTCAGTATAATTTTCCTCAGTTGCCCCTCTGTCCTTTGACAGAGAAGCCCCTGAGCGCACTCTGTCCAAAGACAGACACACAACTGAGAGATGATAAGAAAATGCGAAATTACCCCAAGAGAGGAATTTACACACACAGAAGTGTACATTTCAGACAAAATCTCTATACATGTCAATAAGAGAGGAGTGACCTGGCAATTACACTGTAAAGTATCTATGCCAGCTGAATTAACAGCAGGTGAGTCTATAGGTATCATATGAATGGTGTCTGTGTCCTTATATCAAACCAAGCTACAGTTTGTAGATTTTTGTAGAGAATAGGCTGCACTAGAGGTGGTTTCACCTAACACCACAAATTTCTACAAAATCAAATCATTAGACTGAAAACTTGGGTGAAGTTCTTAAATAGCCTTGTCAGATTGAGACTTCCATATATATGCCATGCATGGGGCCAAACCTGTTCAGAAATATCTAGACTGTCAGCTGTATACAACTGCTTTCTAAAATCAATGGTTAAAAATTACTTTAAGCAAGTGAAGTCTATAGGTCTTGTCAAAGACCATCTTTCTTCAAACATCATAAACTAGCATTCCAGAATCACAGACAAAGAACAGTACCAGATAAGAGAAACTACATCACTTGAGGACTTCCAACAGCAGCAACTGCTAAAATGGATTTCACTTATAACTCGAATAAAAAATAATGACATAATCAACATGTTGACATTCTACACCACTTCAAACAGAAGTTTAGGAAGGAAACCCCCATCAATACCAGAAAGAGCAATAACAGTTACTGGACTTGAGAAACCTATTTCTCTGAAAAATTGTTTTAAGAGAAAGCTTTTATAAATTTCAATCAAAAGCAGTGGCACTAGCTGCTCAATCAAAGAATGCCAAATGTTTCCTTATAAGGAAACAACCAATATTACCATCACAGTATTCAGTGATCAAATCAGAATAATTCCTAGAATGTTTTATATCAGCTTGCAATAAATATCCAACTGACTCTGATTGGCTAAGATCAATCATGTTTCATTTTGTTTTCTATTTTTTACTCAATCAGTTTTTCCTTTTCTATTCATAGCAAAAACGAAAAGGGGTCACAGGGCATGGAAGAATTAGGAACAGAAACATTGCTAATGAGCGGAAAGAGAAAAAAGTAATCAGGATGAATGTAGATAGAGATTGACATTGCGTTTGAATTTTTGCAGATTAAAGTTTACTAGAAAGCATGGAGACAGAAGAGCGTTCCACAAGTGAGAAGTGTGAGGAAAGAAACTATTAGCATAGAATTTATGACTACATCTATCCAGCTCAACTCTAAATTGATGAGATTTCATCACCAGTCTAGTACTGTGATTAAATTCATAAAGTTTAGGTACCATAGTGAAGATCTCATCTGAACAATTACCATAAAAGTATTTATAGAAAAGGCACAGGGAAGCAACCTTATGGCAGTAGGTGAAGTGACTTAAACCAAAATGCCAGTTCAGGATTGAAAATATTGCTGATTCTTCTTTGGATTTTATCAAGGAGCATCGGGTAAATAGCAGGGGCACTGGACTATATTCGGCAATCATATTCTAAGCATGAGTGAATGACAGACTTAAAGTTATGTATGACAGTTTCCGGAGGAAAAATTTGTCTTGCACAACTCGGTGATAAATATTAAATTATAAATTCTTTACCAGCACAGTGATGGAGCTTTTATTACAGATAAAAAATCAACATCACTCAACGTCATAAAATTTATTAAATAAACAAATCAAAAAAAAATATGAAGCAAATGATTCTAATGAGATATTTCAGTAGATTTGAACAGCCTCAGTATATTAACTTAAATGATGATAATCAAATATGCAGCTCCCCCAGCACATAAACATTGTCAGATCATGAGATGCTAGTTACACCAGACAGTATTTAAAGTAAGTCCCTCAGAAAAGTGGAATCATAGCATTTGATATTTTTGCTATGAGGTTAATCCAGCACCAGGTAATTGAATAATAAAATGGGAAACTTTGCAACGTACTTCATTCTGAGAAGGAATTTCTTCCAATTAATAACAAAATCATGTTTTAATTAAAAGAGAAAGTAATTTATTAGGGTGAAAATATATTGAAAGTACACTAATTGTGGAAACTTCTATGGTTAATATATCTTCCCCGACAAAATTAATGCTGATATATAGTCTAGCCCAGTGTTTCCCAACCTGGGTGATCTAGCCCACCAGTGGGTGATTTCAGCTGTTGGAAGGGGCGATGAGCACAGAGCAGAAAATGGGTGATTGGAAATTTTGGTGGGTGATATAGGATCTTGCATATTAAGAAGGTATTTCTACATATGCCATTCGAAAAAAAATATTCAAAGAAGATATGCAAAGAACTTGTATAAAAATAAAAATGTCCTAATTGGAAATCGCTGGGTCACTTTCCGAGATATGATATAAATATCGCCGCAAGCAATGAATATTTTGATATTTTCTATAGTTTTGAAAAACATCATAAACCTTCATATAGTTCTTAAAAATATCATTTTTTTTTTTTTTCAGATACATGTATATTTTTACAAAATAATCATTCATTTTAAATTCAACTGAATGCGTATGTGTTCTCTCCTTTTCTTCATCCCAAAGGAAGATGATAATTACTTTTGTTGTAAGATGAATGTGTTTTTGAGTGGCTATACATTGATTGATTCATTTATTTTCAATGCCTTACCAATCCTTTGCAGGTTATTTAAAGCCAGAAACTATTTTTAGATTGTAAGAAATTATTTTTGGGAAATAATAATGGTTTAATGATACAAGTCTTACCTATTAACCCATAGATGTGAGTAGAAGTGGATTGTTGTGGAGTAGTTTTCACAGTGGAGGCTTGTATTTCAAGAAGTCGTCCTAAATTAGGTTCAACGTACAAAACGTTAGGAACTTGAAAATAAGAGTTGACGCAGCAATCTAGTTGTGATGGTTGGTACTTCAATGTCCGATATCGTCTGACGCGCTAAACACCACACTGAGCCGAACTGGCGACCGCCACCACCACTTATTACTTATCTGTGGGAGAGTCCATTACAATAGAATAGGTAATATGGCATGACGTGGATTCATATCTTTCCTAAGTTTATTTGCACGTAAGAGTGTCCTGAGTATGACGATAAATACATCCACATCCAGGGTAAGATGATAACAGAAAGGCCTCTGATCAGGAGGTTTCAAGTAGTGTGGAAACACCTCTTAATTGCTGGTGTTCCCAGGTCCACCCTGACCCGGGGTGGTAGTACCTATTAGGGTCCCAACTATGGGTAAATAGGTAACCCCCAAACTGAGGTAAAAAACATTATAAAAGTGTAAAAATAGGTTTTAATACCAGAAATACTTTGTAAAAAAAATTATTACCAGAAATAAATTTTTGAAGAAAAAAATATTACCAGCAATACGTTTTTGGAAAAATAATATTACCAGCAATATGTTTTTGAAAAAATAATATTACCAGCAATATGTTTTTTTAAATAGTAATATCAGCTATACATTTTTGAGAAAAAAAAATATTACCAGAAATAGATTTTTAACAAAACAAAATATTACCAGGAAAAATATGTTGTCAGCATTAAATAACCCATTGAGGTTGATATGCCGTAAAACACAACAAACCAAACCACTTAAGTGAATATAATGAACCTAACAAGAATTGGAACTTGGTTCACTCATTAACAATTCTGAACCATTATCCATTACTCCACCTGTACATTCAAGCTTATAGCACCTGGTATTCCCAAGGGGTTATGCATCAAGGTACTGACCAGGTTTAACATTGCTTAACTTCAGTGATCATATGTGAGCCAGTGCTTCAGTGCGATGTGGCTGTAAGCAAAGAGTGGTTATACAGGCTGGTCCTTGACAGGCACTGTTTGCCATAGACTTGATAGTTAAATGTACTGGAAAGCAGGAACTTTGTTGTTGCATTGCTACATCATTCAAGGATTGCTTTCCTGAGCTTTTTTTTCTTCGCTTTTGCTTGTGACTGTTTTTCACAACCTAAATATGCTTAGAAACAGCAATTTCATCTCACTCTGAAAAGACCGTTGTCTGCCCTAATTCTGTATGTTACAGAATAAATCGAAAAACCATTGTCTGCCCTTTTCATCTATCTTTAGGATAAACATCTACAGAAATTCATTTTAAAACAATCAGATGGAGTAAATTTTTACTGCTAGTCCAATAAATAATTGTTTGTAGGCTCTTTTTATTTAAGAACGTCTTTCAATGATTTCCTCCTGGCTGACCAGTTGTTTATTTCTGGAACATAACTGTAGAGAAGTCACAGGCAAAGATAAAGATAAGAGTGTGGGGTGGTTGTGAACCAGAATGTGTTGGTCTCGTCTGCTTACCTCTTAGAGTAATCTTTTCTATATGATGAAATTGTGCCATGGCCCACAAAGAAGTTCAGACTCCAGTGGTTTTTGTTGTTTCTTTCAGAGCGACACAGAGAAAAATAGAGAAAGAAAAGTCAAAAGAGAAAAAAGAAGGAGGAAGATTTTCTGGTTCTGAGTTCAGAGAAGATATCAAATGTATTTTTTTTTTCTGTTGCTATGGTTGCATAATGCTGAGTTGCTTTTATATTGACTGCTTTACCTTAACAAAAATATATAGACATTTACCTATATATATATAGTCATCCACGCATAGACTGTTTCACTGTATCACAGCTCATCAGTGTGGTTAGATGTCCGGTTGCCTCTAGCTAGGACCAAAACCCGGCTGAATTGGAATCAGTCAGAGATTCTACCCCTAAGCTGTTATAGTCATCCACAGACAAATTGTTTTGCTGTATCACAGCTCTTCAGTGTGGCTAGACATCCAATCAATATATATAAAATCTATGGGTAACTAATCCAAGTGAATCCTATTAATATAAAATATTAAAGAGAGCTCAATATATTTATTATAAAGCAGAGAAATGAATTACATAAAAATGAAACTCAATTGTACCCCATTTTCATGGCAATTTTGTTCCTTGGGATAAATTCCCGAGATCTTGTCAATACTAAACATTTTAATATTGACAAGCTCCAGAGAATTTATCCTGAGGAGGGAAATAGCTATAAAAATAGGATACAATTCAGTTTCATTTTTATATAATTATATATATATATATATATATATATATATATATATATATATATATTTAATATTAAAGTATTTATTAATATAATAATTTGCTGAAATATAGATTAATTTGCACTCTGGATGTTTTTTTGAATATTTTCCTTCCTAATAGAAATACCCCTTTCCCAAGCCAACATGACAATAAAAATGTTAAAAACATCAAAAAAATGGTGAAATTCAAAAACACGTTTTATTTAAAATATATAAAGCATTACTCAATTTCTCAAACTAAAAAATATAAATAATAAATGTATGTATAATGTGTGTATATATATATATATATATATATATATATATATATATATATATATATATATATATATATATATAATAAAAAGAATAAAATGTTTTTACCTTATTCACTTCCCAAAGTTCCAACTGCAAAGTATCAAGTGGTGAGTCAGAATTTGCCCCTTTTTATAGTATTAATCTGCTCTACACATTACATTCTGAAGAAGTATTGATCACTTTTTAAAATATCAGTGTTTGGCCTGGAATTGTTCCTGCCTACTAATATATATATATATATATATATATATATATATATATATATATATATACATATAAATAATTTTAAAAACTAGGAAACCATTGATTTTAATATTAAAAGTCTCTAGAGCCCTTTCAGCCAACATCTCATCAGGAGACAATCGTTGGATTAGCGAAATGAATAATAGCGATATTGAAGAGCAAAAAAGAGGGGGAAACACACTAAAATAACGAACAAGTATATATACTTGTAACGAGGGAAGGGTTATCATGTAAATAAATAGCGAGGGACAGTTAAAATAAAATATCCCCCAACAGATTCAGAGACCTTATAAATTCTTTCTGCCGGCAGAGAGAAGGTTTTCTAAATCCTATACAGACCTTTTCGCAAGGATGTATTGCCCTACATCAAATTGAGTAATTTAGTATATGAATTTAATTGCCAGTGTGCTGCTGGTTATGTGGGGCGTACAACCTTGCATTTGGAAACTAGAATTAATCAGCACGTTCCTTCCAAAATACGACTTGGTAAGATAGATAGAATATGCTATCTTCCCCCATGAATATGGAATCGGCTATTGCTCAACATTTAGTTGAGAATATAGCTTGTGCCAAGTTGTATATAAAAAGAGTGGTTTAGAATTATTCATACAGCCAATTCCAATAATCATTTGAAGATTTTGGAATCCAAACATTGTTCTTTATTTTAGTGTGTTTCCCCCTTTTTTGCTCTTATATATAATCCAATTGATGAAATGGACAAAGTCCTAGTTTTTAAAAATTATTGTTTTGTACCTCCAAACATTTTTTATGTTTTTTATGTTTTAAGACATTTTTTAGAAAATAGAAAATGCATCCTCCAACAGGAATCAAACCTGTATCCTATATAGAACCGTTATATAGCCTAATGTGCCTTTACCAATTGGGCCACAGAATGTATAAACATAAAAAATGTCTTAAAAATATAATTGTTGGACTTTGTCCATTTCATAATGTGTGACATCATTTGTTTACATTTGGCTACGCATTGAGCAGATATGAATGTATGAGAGAAAATCATGGAGAATTGTTTAAAAATGGTAAAATCAACTTTGCTAACTGAACAGTCCTCTGTGGCCCATTCGGTAAAGGCACATCAGGCTATATGATGGTTCTGTATAGGATACAGGTTCGATTCCTGTCAGAGGACGCATATTTTCTTTGAAAATTTCTCGGACATTCAGGCCAGTAAATGTTGTTAATACTGTTTATTATAAACAGAGCATTTACTTAAATATTTGTATCTATAAAAAGAACATATACACATAAAAAATGTCTTATATATATATATATATATATATATATATATTATTGAAATGAAAGTACATATTAAAAAGTTACTGAAGTTTCAACCTCAAAACAAAGCATCAACAGGCCAGGTTCAAATTTTAGAACCTGGACTGATGATCATGCATAGTAGCTTTGGTTTCAGTTCTTTTTCTGTACTTTTAGTGCAATTTTGTATGCTCTACTTTGTATTGACCACTTTCATTACAGCTTCATTGTAGTTGCATCCAACTGACTACCATTATTTTTTATATATGTGTTCTATTAAGTAGAAAGGATAAGGAATGTCTGTTAAGCTTTTACTGTCAAATAAGTGAATAAGTCGTTCAATTCTAATTGGAAACCCATAAAGTTACTTACCAAAATTATGCATTATATTCCAGTACTATTGACCATTGTTGACTGTTTTCAAGGAAAAGAAATTAGAAAGCTTATGGAGAGTCAGTGAAGCAATATGTTGTTCATGGTTTGAAGTTTGAAATGAACATGGTTTCAGCTGATATGATTGTAGAAAAGATCTTAGACTCACATGGATAAAATGACCTAATGCTTCAAAGGTATTTAAACATATGCACACCTCAATTGAAATAGATTTTATTGATGGTGAGTAATTTGCCTTTGATGTGAAGGGTTTTCAAAATTTTTAATAATTCCTGTCAGTTTGATTGGCATTGTACTGTTGTATGCAAGTGTGTATTCATCCAAAAACATTTGATGAATTTAACCAACACAATATTGATGCATTCTTTTTGCTGCAGTCTCTTTCTTTAACCATTTCACATGATGTTACTGTGGATTCTATTAAACCTCCAACTTTCTATAAAATACAAGGATGTAGCCAACAAAATCTTCTTTGTCACATGGACACAAGGTTCTTGACAATGACTGAGATGGTTGAAAATTCTTAAGTAAAACAACAGTACAAACATAAATTTTGAATAGTTTATTCAATACTGATATACATCTTTTTTCAAAAATTTAAAAAATATAGTAAAAATTAAACAAACAGAGATTGTTGATTTGAATTTGATCAAACTTGTTTGTGTGTGTGTGTATATATATATATATATATATATATATTAATCACTGTCACCCCATGCAAGGCAGTAAAGCCACTAAGACACAAGGGGGTTACTGGGTGTGGAAGAATTAGCAACAGAAAGATTAATAATGAGTGAAAAGAGTAATCCGAAGGACGTTGTATTTAAATTTTTTGTGGATTAATGTTGACTGGAAAGCATGGAGCTGGAAGGGATTTCCACAAGTGAGAAGTGTGAAAAAAAGAAACTTTTAGCATACAAGTTGTGGCTACATCTAGCCAGCTCAACTGTAAATTGAGATCTTGAGATCTGTGCTTAATTCAAAAAGTCTAGGTACCATTGCGAAGAGCTTATCCGAACAATTAACATGAAAGTATTTATAGAAAAGGCACGGAGAGCCAACTTTATTGCAGTGGGAAAGTGACTGAAGCCAAGCTACCAGATCAGGACTAATAATATTGCTGATTCTTCTTTGGATCTTATCAAAGAGCTCAAGGTAAATATTGCAGGGGCATTGGACTATATTTGGCAGCAATATTCTAAACATGGATGAATAGTAGACTTATAGGTATCTAAGATAGATTCTGGAGAGAAAAATTGTCTTGCACAACACAGTGAATGAACTTTCTTAACAGCTAACCTAGCAATGTTTTCAATATATTGTTTCTACTTATAGATGTGTATAATTGTATGTGTATATTTTTTTATTCTTACAAAAGATCATTGATTTTTAA